GATCTAATATTATTGTGACCATATACAAACATGATTTTTAATATAATCACATACATATTTTATTAAATTGTGTTAGCATCATAAACATAAGACGATTGAAACAATTTGTAAATTCTCTCAAGGGGAAAAATGATTTCAAGGTTGATTTCACTTTGATTTGTTGCCGATTGGGCTTTAGTTATTGATTATTATCTAGAAGAAGAAAAAAATCAAAGAGAAAGAACAAACTTCAAATAACCAGACCATGCAAATGTTATTCAGTGTATATTGGGAAAAAAAACTGTGACATGCGATACATTATATAATAAGATAAAACATATGGAGTGTAATTGATTTAAAGTATTGAACTACTCATGGTCATTTGTTTATTTTCGATCGCAATGTATTATTAATATAGTATTGTGCAAAAACCATGGAACCCTTGGAGACCGTTACCATTACTAATAATTGTGGGTATCTGTATGACTTTGGTTGTTGTAGGTTTAGCATTACGATTAGGTTTACGTGTTGGATTAAATAATGATAGTAAAAATTTAACTTTAATCATCTCGAATAGTTTGACATTAACGACAATAAGAACTTCGACAAACATGACAATGACCAATAGGACAGCAGCAACTACAGCAAATTTAACAACAACTACTACTACGATAACAACAACAACGATAACATCAACAAAGTCTACGACAACAACAACAACAACAACATCTACAACGATAACTCTGACAACAACATTATCGATGACAATAACAATAAAGACAACAATAACAACGATAACAGCAACAATAATGTAGGGTGTGGGTGTGAGTGGATTTGATTAAAGACAAAAGAAACACACACCCACACCCCATCCTTTAAAGGCCTTTTTCTTGAATTTCTTAAAATAACATGATTTCTTCAGGAAAAGGCATGTGATCTAATAGGGAATGGCACTTTAAGGCCTTTTCTGAAGTTTCTGCTTTGTTTTAATGAGTTTACACTGAGAAATCCATGTTTTTCTAAAAAATACCTTTAAAGGCCTTTTTCTTCGACGGCATAAAATGAAGCGGTTGTGTGTCTATTTTATTGCTTTCTAATGGAAAATGCTGTGTTTCGTTTTACGGCGTTGTCTGTGTCGTATACGGCCGCAATACGGTGCATAGAAATACGGCGCATAGACGACCGCATACGGTCGTATCTGGTCGTCGTAATGCTCGACCTGAAATGTTTCCTGTTGCACAATACTGAGTCTAGGGGTGCACCAGTGCCAGTTAACTGGGTACCAGTCGGACTGGGTACCCAGTCCGACTGGTACCCAGTTAACTGGAGGCACCCAGCCCGACTAGGTAAAACTTCGAGTTCTAGCAAAAATACCTATGGATTCTTGTTTTATGAATTCTCACTGTCATTCGATGTAAGGCCCAGTCGGACTGGGTGGGTACCCAGCCCGACTGGACCTTACATCGAATGATACTTACTTTACATAGAACAAGAATCTATAGGTATTTTTGCGAGAACTCGAAGTTTTACCCAGTCGGACTGGGTACCTCCAGTTAACTGGGCACCAGCTGGACTGGATATCCAGTCGGACTGAGTACCCAGTCCGACTGGGACCCAGTTCACCAGTCAGGACTGGGACTGGTGCATCCCTACACAATACTACATGTAGGAAGATGTACCCATGTTATTTTTGTGATTTTTTTACTCCGTGTTACATTAGTATCAGCATCATCTTTGATAGGAGAATTAGACTTTGTTATACAAGACACACATTTATCAGGAATTACATCAGACTGTCATATGCAAATTAGTAAAACATGGTTTGCTAAATACATTTTTTCATTCCTACATTATTTTTCAATTTTCTTGCTGAGTTGACTTGTTGTTTTCCCAGTTAGTTACAACTCAGTTTTCAGTTATTTATATGGATTCAAAAAGAAGTTGCATATATATAGGTCAATAAACCAATTTTAGGCTTGTTACTTCTTTTCAAAATCTTTTATGGGGGTTTTAAAATATATCTGAAAACAGTTTCTAATTTGATAACTTTTCGAAAGACATTTTATCAGATATGGTATTACCTATTTGGAGTTTTACTTCCTTAATCTAATTTCCTTCGTATTATCTGCTTACTATCATTGTTTTATCAGCTCCACGGTTTGCAAATCTCAAAGCATTCACGGTAGCTTCTCGTATAATTTCAGAAATTTTTTATGCTATTCAGACATGGTGATCATGTCATTTTCGAAAGACCACTGTTTCTTTTCGCAACTAATTTTAGGCTTTATCTACTAAACAGACATGCTCTCTATTTGCATAAGTATCTGTAGAAAAAAACCTACTGATAAAGATACCAAAATTTAACTTCATTTTGCCTTTGCCAGCGATAAATTTTATTTTCGTTTTGTCCAAACTTGCTTTTTTATGAGTGTCAATAAAATGACGAGATACTGTACGCAAGAAATCGGCTTCATTTTTATTTTTAATGACTTTTCATTCTTCTGGAAACGAGTTCAACAAATGCACATTTGAAAAAAGAAACCGGTGGATGATGTTGAAATAACTTTCGATACGAACAACAAAAAGAGGTGCAGTTTTGGTGTGAATATGCAGGTAGGTGTCGGTTTCACTGTACCATAAGATAGAGTTAGTATCTACAAACACACTCATCATCACACACTGAAAAAAAGACACCTCATAGAACTTCAAAAGTTTCGTGGTAACTTACTGTACATCAAAAGATTTTCATCGGATGTAAGTGTAGGTTTACGTGTGGCTGTGAGTGTGTATGAACTTTAAATAACCATACTCACACCCAGCCACACCCACACCCTTTTGTGGCACTTGTAAAACGTGTCTCTTTTTGCTCAATATTCTATTACTTTTTAAGACTTTTTTTCGTCCGATGACATTTCCTTATCAAAATCATAGCAAAAACAATTGTTTTATTGATGATAGAATATCGAATGACAGAGCAGCTTTTCTACATTTCTAAATATAATTATTATTATTTCTTTGACAAAACTTATTCAAACAAATGAACAAAAGTTTGTTTTGATACTATTGTATCTATAGCAACCTTTTGTTTTCTTTTCTTTCTTGTCTTTTTCTTCATAATCAATGGTTTGAAAATGAAAAAAATCGATAGAACATCAAAACAAAACTGTCGGCAAAGTTGTCGATAAATAAACTAAGCAGTCCTGGGTGAGTGTGGGGGTGGGGGTGGGAGTGAGTGTTGGTGTGGGTGTAGATGTAGGTGTAGAAGTGGAAAATCCAAGATGGATAAACTACAGCCACACCCACACCCTAAATATATGGTTTTGATGGAACTGATTGAAAATAATTTTGATCTAAAGTTTTATCAACCACTGGTCAAAATGTTACTATAGTCTTAAAAAAAAGAAGGAAAAATATAGGAAGAAATTTATTTTATTTTATCTTGCCAGTACGTGGGTCTATGTATGACAAAGTATATTTACGGCAATATTGATCCATTAGTTTTTGTTTTTGATGAGTGGTTGGATTTTTTCCAAATTTCAATAATCATATTCATCTACTCATTGCTATAAAAGTAAGCATAATTTAAGTAATGTAATACTAAGATTCTCAGTCTATGCATATGTTGAAATGGATCCATTTTCTATTACGCTTTTTCTATCGATCTTAGTTGTAAATCTCTAACAACAACAACAACACCTTTTCCATTGTTTTTCTTCTATAACTTGATTTTTATAATTTGATTGTACAGCATCTGTATTATCATGAGCGGTTGGTGAAATAGATATTGGTTATTTAGTGGCATGAACACTGGAAGATATTATTGCTGTTCCACTAATATTTGATAAATGTTCATGCAATAATTTCAAATCTAAATAGGTTAATTGAAGAAAAATATTATCTTTATCTTTCTCAATACCACTATTAAATAGAAACTAAGGCTATATAAACATGTATTAAGCGATGTAAAAAGGTAACAAACCATCCTTAATAAAATTGAATTAACATTCTCTATGAAACAACATCATGTGATGCAAGATCTTTAACAACTGATACATAATATTCCACAGCACATTTATCATTACTATTCACAAAAAAACATATACATCACGAGAACCTTCTGTCATAAGGCAATCCACATCACAAATACCTAAATTAATTTTATTTATAAAAGAAGTATATACAAAACTTTCATTATCAGTTGGATGAAACTAAACAAATTCTACATCTTAATTTAAGACTAGTACAAGTAATCATGGTATTTCTATCACCAGTGTACCCAGGATAACCAATCCTG